GAAGGGCTAGGATTTTTTCACGTGGACTTGGACTTCTAGTAATTACCCCTGGTCTCTGGGTAGCGAGATCGGACGCCCGTGTGCATTGTCGCGCACGGAAAAATCCCTTGGCAGTTGGAAATCGTAAAAAGTAGCCAAACGGTGCTGTCCGGGCAAAATTTTGAGTTGAAAATCTACAGAGCCTGTCCACTATGCTGAGCTTCTACGGACTCAGACTTGAGTTAGAAAAAGAACGGAGCACTATGGGTTACGACCTGTATGCCATGATGTTGATCCGTTGTTCAAAGCTCAAACCATTAGTCTCTTTTTGTAATTATGCTTAGTAGATTATATGCTGCTCCGTTTAGCTTCTTTTGTTTTGTTATATTTTCATATGATTATATGTGTCTGTCTTCTTCTGTTGTCCTACCCATTATGCCATAGAGTGGGTCTATTCGGGCAATGTATATTCAGGATCCAAAATGTTGACAATGGACATAGCCGCGGACATAGAACAATCATTAATGCAATATAACTGGCAGTGATTTACAGCCCATTTTATTTGCCTCAGCGGACCGCTTTTGGTCACGGGCCGCCAGTTGAATAGCCCTGCAACAGAGCATCACAGAGAGAAGTTAGGTGTGCTTTCCTCTCTTTTGCTAGTTGCGTAGCTTGTGTGAATGCCCTATTGCTTTCTGTATTGTCATTTTTTACTCAACCAGTCTATGTCCTATTTGGTCGGCCTCTTGGCCTGTAGCCTACGATTCTCAAATAGTAGCCTCTAGCTGCTGGCTGATTTTGTTCCATTCTAACCACATGACCAAACCATTTGGTTTTTTAAATAATCTTTGAAACTTACCAGTGCTGTGTCTACCATTGTTCTTAGTGGCTCGGTGAGGATTTTATGTTTGTGTTTTCCTGGTACTGCCATTTCAAATATGACAGGGATACGTCAGTGCTACAGAGCCTGTGGACTGTGCTGAGCTTCTTCGGACTCATTTGAGTTAGAAGACAGAACTGAGCACTTATGGGTTACTACCCGTTACCTTGATGTTGATCCGTTGTTCAAACTTCAAACTTCAAATATGACCATGTGCCTAATATGTATAGTCTGAAATAATTAAAACTGTATCTATTTAACCCCGCCTATCTAGTCATGGACTTACGGCAGCAGAAGTGTCAACGGAAAGTCCAGAAGACAGTGTCCACATACAGAAGAACATTAATGAGATTTCCATTGTCCAGTCAATGTTTTATTGGTCTAAAGACAGTGATAACCAGACAGAGTTTTCACAACATCGGTATGTTCTGGGTATATTTCGGCTTGTTTCTGTATTTACATCATATTCTTTTTGCTTTTGTCTATTCATCTTTTTGTTGTAGGCATGTTTCTTATTATTAGTGAATCTAACGTAAACTTCTGGGTGTATCTTTCGTGTTTTTTTTTCCTGTATTTTCATCGAAGTTTATGTGCTGACATCCTTCCTTGCCGTCAAGGTGTAATTTTAGATTGTTTCTGTGTTTACGTCAAAGTTCTAGATACATGTCCCAAAATTTTTATATTTTCATCAAAGTGATATACATATTTTCCAATTTTTCTGTAACTCCTTTTTAGTTCTATTTATCTTTTTTCGGTATTTACATTAGCGCTCTTTGTTGTATTTTTTTTAAATTGTTAATGTTTGACATCAACGTCCTGCGTATATATTTTATTTCGTTATTCTGTTAATGATGGTCAAGTAAAAATTGTTTCTGATGAAATGCATGAAAAACATGGACCGGATAACAAATAAAACAAAACTAAATGAGGCAGTTCATAAAACAAATCAATTAAAATCATAGATTTGTTAGGGAAATTCGAAATTAGGACAAACAAAGTACACTTTTTTTAAATCCTTCAGGCATGTTGGGCATATAGGGCAAGACTTAGATTTTATAGACAAATCGGCAGTCGGTGGGTGATGTAGTCAACATCACGCTGGCCGCCTTTACTTCCCAGGACTATACGTGATACCGACTCGAGGCTGGACGACTTGGGAACCAAAGTAAATTTTTTTTAAGTCCGGCTCCGTCAGAACACGAACGTACGACCTTCCGATCCAGAGGCGAGCGTCCAGCCGCTACACGACGGTGGCCTCCATTATGAAAATGATTAAAGGGAAAACAAAGAAGTAAATATCCGATGGTTGTTAGCCACATTTAGTAAAGGCGTGAATTAAACAGACTTGATCTGAAATTTGGTAAAAGTAGGAAATGGCAAACCATAATCGCCAACCAGAAGCGCCGACACAAAGAAAAAAAATTAGGGTAGTTGGGCTTAGCCGCCTTATCATTTTCTAATAGCGGGGAACACAACGGCTTAAACCTTGGTTTAATACACATTATTAGTTATTATTATTATTATTATTATTATTATTACTATTATTATTAATATTACTATAATTATTAACCAACATGCAGAGAGAAGAAATACAATCTAGAATTCAATCTGGAAATAAGTATACTATGCCCTTCAACATTTGCTAAAGTCTATCTCGCAACACCAAAATCAAAATATATAAAACGTTGATCGGACCAGTCGTTTTTTTAATGGCTCTGAAACTTAGAGCACAACTAAAAGAGATGAAGCCTCATTACAGGTTTTTGAAAACAGAGTGTTAAGACGAATCTTTGGACCCATCAAAGTTGCAAACAACGGGGAATGGAAAGTGAGAAGCAACAACGAAATTCATAATCTGTTTAAGTCACCATTAATCACTGGCATCATGAGAGCTAATAGACAAAATTGGTTGGGGTATATTGAAAGAATGTCAGAGAAGTAAAACTGTATACACAAGGGAGATGAATGGTCATAGACCACGAGGCAGATAAAGAAAATGGGTACCAGGATGTATGTCATGTATGGCCTGGTGAAGTAAAGACGGCCGGCGTAATGCTGACCACATTACCCACCTAGTGCTGATTGGTCTGTAAAAATATGGGTGCTCTTCTTTTATGCCTGATGCGCCTACAGGCGTGAAAAGGGATCTTTACTTCTTTTTTTTTAAGCTTACTGTCTTATTGTTATGGTTTTTAATTTACTCGACAGATACCAGAAAACTATTCCAACAAATAATACTGAGGATCTGAAGCTAGAAATTATTCGCATAAATATCGAGCAAGTGATTCATAATCTGGACAAGTACCCCCTGAATCTGAGTGCCGACAGCCTGGTGTTTGTCATTCAGGTCCACGACAGGGCTGATTATTTGCGGATTCTTCTGGATTCAATGAGGAATGTCCGTGGTATAGAGAACAGCTTGATTATCGTTAGCCACGATGTTTATTCTGATCAGCTGAATGAGATTGTTAACTCGGTGGAGTTTTGTCCGGTAAGTTCTCAGTTGTAATTCAGCGTTAAAAAAAGTAAAGTAAAGGACCCTTTTCCATTCCTTTTGGCGTATAGGGCATATAGGGCAATACAATATTTTATAGACCAATCAGCACAAGATGGGTGATGTGGTCAGCATCATGCCTTTACTTCCCGGGACTTTTACCCACTCAAGGCTGGGTCGACCTGGGAGCCAAGGTCATTTTTGAAGATAGTCCGGCTCCGCCAGGGAGCGAACCGACTACCTTCCGCGGTGAGTGTCTAGCCGCTCCGCCACGGCGACTCTCGTAATTCAGCGTATCATTGGTTAATCACAGTTCCAACTCCATTGCAGACGGGCTACCCGCATTGTTGCTCCGTTCCTTTGCCAGGAAAAAAGACCACACAAAATGCCCCTCATAGTCCCTTGTTGCGGTTGTGTAGTAGCTAAACGCTAGTGTGTCACCCCGAAAATCTTAGGTTCGAACCCACATCGTGGCGGATGTCCTAAGTGATGTGAGCTCTCGTGACCCTGCCTAAAATTAGTACCAGGGAACGTCTTTTGAAGTAAACGCCGCTAGCACATTGCTGATCACATCACTCTCGTGCCGAACTGGGGCACAGACACTCAAACAACTCATGCCAAGTCGTTCCATCCTTCGCTACTGCATTCAGCCCACTGCATGTCTTCCCTATCTTTTTAACTTCACTTAGCTGTCTTCTCATAATTCTTCCCCTGGAAGAGTTACCCACCTGGTGCCGATGATCTGTAAAAATATGGGCGCTCTTCCTATATACCCGATACGCCTAAAGGCGTAAGAAGGGATCTTTATTTCTACTGGATGAGGCTCCCATCATTATGATTGTCTAGGTTTTTCTTGTTTTTCTTTTTGGCTTGTCCATGTATTATGTTGTTGTGGCGATATTTTTACAGGATAATGTAGCCACCCCAGGCCCAACTCTTCCCTTAGTCGCCTCTTACGACATGCCTGGTAGGGTGTAGTGTTTTTATTCTTTGCTTTACGTGAGGGCCCCGGTAACACACGGGTGATTACACACATAATATATATGGATCTAGCACAGTATAAGTAGATCGTGGGTTTCTGACGGAACTGGGCTTTTCTCAAAATGACCATGGCTCCCAGGTGGACCCAGTCTTGAGAGGGTACCAGGAGCAATCCTGAGACGTAAAGGCGGCCGGGGAGGTGCTAATCCCATCACCCACCAAGTACCGTTTTGCCTATAGAATATAGGCCTAGCCCTATATGTCCAATAAGCCTAAAGGCGTAAAAAAACATCTTTTACATTACTCGCTCTCAGAAAGTGGTAGGACTCAGCTAAAAATGGGCAATGTCAAGGTAAAGCGGTTGAAGCTCATGAAGATAAAGGTGAGAGGATCATCTTTATTGCATGGGGTTTTATCCCATATAGCTCATTCTCTCTCTAAAGAACAGCTGACTGTCTGCCAAGAGCGTCGCACAAAGCACGACCTCTGTAGCTCCGGCGAAACTCCCCAGGAATCTCCGTAAAAATTGCACTCGTATGCCAAATACGCTCTGGCGTAAAAAAAAGGTCCTTTACCCTTTTTTAAAACTGTATTTACAGGTGATGCAGATATTCTACCCATTCTCCCAACAAGTCTATAGTCACGAGTTTCCGGGAGAAGATCCAAATGACTGCCCACGAGATGTCAAGAAAGCTGAGTGAGTAATTTCGCAAAATGCATGGTTATAAAGGAATGCATCTTCCTAAGAAGCAAAGAACCAGCAGTCTGCATACACATAAGGCAGATTTGTAAAATGTTCTTATTTTTTTTAAATGGCTGTGAATTCCAGTGAAAAATCGCTGTTTTTTCCGTTTATTTGGACTTTGGTTTTGTACCAGGACCTGAAGTTTGCGTGTACATCCGTTTTACTGGCTTATAGAAGAAGAAGAAAAAAGAAGACGATGACGAAAAAGAAGATGATGACGAAGAATAGGACAATGAAAACGATGACGACGACAAAAAAGAAGAGGATGAAGAAGACAACAACGAAGAAGAAGAAGAAGAAGAAGAAGAAGAAGAAGAAGAAGAAGAAGAAGAAGAAGAAGAAGAAGAAGAAGAAGAAGAAGAAAAAGAAGAAGAAAAAGAAGATGATGATGATGAAGAAGACGATAAAAAAGAAGACGAAAAAGAAGACGATGATGATGAAGAAGAAGAAGCAGAAGAGAAGGAAGAAGAAGAAGAAGAAGAAGAAGAAGAAGAAGAAGAAGAAGAAGAAGAAGAAGAAGAAGAAGAAGAAGAAGAAGAAGAAGATGAAGACGAAGAAGAAGACGAAGAAAAGGAAGAAGAAGAAGCAGAAAAGAAGAAGAAAAAAGAGGAAAAAAGGAAGAAGAAGAAGTCAAAGACGGCGTACAAAAAGAAGGCGGAGAAGAAGACTGAAAAGGGCGGTGGGAAGAGAAGGGGAAGAATGCAGAGAAGAGGAGGGGAATAAGACAGAAAAGAAGAAGAAGAAAAATAAGAAAATAAGAAGAAGAAGAAGAAGAAGAAGAAGAAGAAGAAGAAGAAGAAGAAGAAGAAGAAGAAGAAGAAGAAGAAGAAGAAGAAGAAGAAGAAGAAGAAGAAGAAGAAGAAGAAGATAGAGAAGGAGAAGAGGAAGGGGAATAATACAGAGAAGGTGAAGAGGAACTGGAAGAAGACAGAGAATGAGAAGAAAAGGGGGAAGAAGACAGAGAATTAGAAGAAGATGGGGAAGAAGACGGAAAAGGAGTAGAAGAAGACAGAGAAGGAGGAGAGGAAGAAGACGAGAAGGAGATGAAGTAGGGGAAGAAGACAGCGAAGGAGATGAAGAAGACAAAGAGATGAAGAAGGGGAAGATAACAGGCAAGAAGAAGAAGAAAAAAGGGAAGGAGAAGAAGGATGGGGAGAAGAAGAAGGGGAAGAAGACAGTGATAGAGAAGAAGAAGGGGAAGAAGACAGAGAAGGAGACGAAGAAGACAGAGAAAGAGATGAAGATGGGGAAGAAAAAAGAGACAGGGAAGAAGAAGAGGAAGAAGAGAGAGAAGGAGGAGAAAACAGATAAGGAGAAGAAGAAGGGGAAAGAAGAAAGAGAAGGGGAAGAAGATGGAAAACTAGAATAAAAAGGGAAAAAAGGCAGAGAAGAAGAAGAAGAAGAATTAGATCCTATTTCACTGCCTGTTTGCCCTAGACGTTTGTAAATTTCTTTATCCAGTCTTTTATTGGTCCACCTCAGCCTCTTCATCTTGGAATCATACTTTAATTTTTGAGAAGACGCCTTGAGTGTCCCTAGAGTTTTATTTTAACTTAGTGCCCTTTACCTCGAGCACATGTTATTGATACGGCAAGTTAATGTTACAAACCTTAAATGTTTTTTAGAGCCATTAAGAAGAAGTGCAACAATGCAGAACACCCAGATACGTATGGGCATTATAGAGAAGCCAAGTTCTGCCAGGCTAAACATCACTGGATTTGGAAGGTGCGTTTTTGACTGTGTTTCTGTCAGTACCTCCCCCCCCCTCTCTCTCTCTCTCTCTCTCTCTCTCTCTGTCTGTCTGTCTGTCTGTCTGTCTGTCTGTCTCTCTCTCTCTCTCTGTCTTTCTCTCTCTCTCTGTTTGTGTGTACGTGTGTGTGCGCGCAGGTACGCATGGGCGTGTGATTGGCTGTGTTTCATTGTATTTTGTTCTGTGCCTGCTTCCGTCTGCCTGTGAATCCGTGTGTTTGTCTCTCTGTATGCGGGTAAGTGGGTTGGAATGCTGCTTGTGTTCGACCCTTTAATACAGTTCCTGATGTTGTGGCGACCCCCAACCATAGTTTTTTTCGTCGCTTCGTCACAACTTCAATGAATATTTGCTATGCGATGGTCTTTGGCGACCCCCGTGATACAGAGGCACAGACATGGCACCTAGACTATGATCGTTGCATGTGTACTGATTGGTGTTACAGAGGATACTGACATGGCACCCTGTGATCATTGCTACTGTACAGAACGTTGGCATAGGAATGCGGTTATGCCGGGATCGGTGCTTTACTAAGACCTCATCCTGACCTGGACAGGACTGCAGGTTGTATCAGGCCGGTGTAACTGTTCCTAGTGTCCTGAGTCCTAATTATCACTTCTTTGGAGATTACATGGGGTATCTGTCATCTGCCTTATTGTTCTTCCTGTCAGATCTATATCTAAGGATAGGTATCGTAAACCTTTAGGCAGCAACCCAAGCGGACACACTGATGAAGATGATTCACTTTCTTTAACAATATGTATATAATTTTCTTTGAATAAAGATGAAATAAATGATCGATCACTGAGACATATCTTGGGTTTCTATGTTGAGGAGGGTAATCCCAGAGAGACACTGGTTTGGCTGTTCTAATACTAATCTCACCGTGGAAAAGCTTGGTAAGAATTTTCTAGACTGCAAGGCTGCAGCATAGTCCCAACAATGTCTCATGATGACAATAAACAACAGTCTCTGCTTTGCTAAAGAAAAATAAATTCAAATCGTCACGTTCAACCATCCCCGATGGGAGAGCTTCAGGATAAAATTGTGACTAGGTTATGTGCGCCATATAAAATGGCTTCACGTTGCACCAAAAGTAACGAAAAGAACTCCTGCAGTGTCGATGCTATCAAAGTAGACAGCGATCAAAGTAGACAGACCCAAATTATGTGCCGATCAGCGACAAAGTCGTCTACCAGTCAGCCAGATCGCGATGACCCGATCGCCGATGATAGACATGTAGCAGCTCCGTCTTTTATACATGGAACTCACAGATGCAAACATCCTTGCTTGTCACCCGAGAAGCATACGTTTCAGTCCTCACCAAGAACTGGGTAGTCTTGAGGCATGGTGTCAGCCTTGAGTGCAAGAGGTTGCGGGTTCAATCCCCAGTAAGGGCTGAAATTTTTTCACGTGGACTTGGACTTCTGGTAATTCCCCCTGGTCTTTGGGTAGTGAGATCAGACTCCCGTGTGCATTGTTGCGCACGTTAAAAATCTTTTGGCAGCTAAATATCGAAAAGAGTAGCATAACGGCTCTGCCCGGGCCAAAATTCGGAGTTAAAAATCTACCCAGAGCATTTCAGGATCCTCGCCGGTGCTACATGTCACGATACGATCTCAGTGATTCCAGAAGTTAGTACTTGTAATAAGTTCTTCTGGTTATTGAGAGACAAGAGACTATGCCCTTAAACCAAATGTTACTTTAAACCGTATTGATTTAAACGTTTCCAGTCCTTAGTCCAGACAAAGCGACTGAACCTTGGGTAATATTACCTAAAACTTTACACTGTAGCTAGGAATTCTATTCTCATGCCAGTGTCAAAATGTTATCTCCTGACCACAGACTAGAGGCCAGCGAACGGGGAACTTAGCATCACACCTGAGCTGGACCGTAGGTCATAAAGATTACCTAACACAGATTGAGCGGATTCTAGACATAGAGGCGAGGAGAAGTTTAAAGTTTAATACGTCAGTGTAATTCTGGAGAGAACAGGTGTTTGGCAATTAGGAATGTTTTATCTTGATCTTGGTCACGTAGGAAACACAATGGCTTCACTGACCGTCTTTCACACCGGCCAGTTAGATTCGGTGTAAACTAGATTGGGGCACTTAAGAATGTTTGCTCTAGGGATGTCAGTCCAGAATTGACTGACAGGCCACTTGTTAGCTAATGTGATTTGATAGGTACTTCGGAGGAGGAGCTTAAGTTATCATCTTGAGGGTTGGGTAAAAACTAAGGAAAGGGAGGAGTTTAATTTGGACAATAGATTGATACTTATACTTCGAGCCTGTGGAATTCCCGTCATTAATCGCAGCCTGCCGGCAAACAAACAGGTCGACGTAAAGGTATATTTTACTGTCGTACTCTGGTTTGGCGATAGATGGAAAAGTTCCCAGGTAAGAGAAAATATTAATTGTAATCTTGTATACTTAGGTTAGGGAGTTAAGCTTAGTCTATACTACCTTTTCCTAATTTGTCTGCACATTCTGCTTGAAATAGTTCTGTGTGAGTATTCAGTATCTCAAGTTAGGGAACTGCTAAACTATTCCTATTTCTTGTATGTTTGTGTCACATGTTTTTCATTGTATGTTTTCATGTGTATAAAATAAGATGTGAACAATGACATTTGCTATAATGAAATGTAATTATATTGTTTTCACGATCAGCCAAAATATGAGTTGGGACTGTGGGAAATGATGCCCAAATATGTGCAGGGATGCTGTTACGTTTTGTGTGCCCACCATGTGCTCACTTAATGTGTTCAACTAAACAGGGGATTTATAACCCCAGGGGAAGGATGAGGGGTGTATAGAATTCACGGTCACTGAAAGATAATATTCAGGACAGCGTGCACATATAAATTGTTTGCGGGTTCAGCACATAGCCTGCGCCACATGTTTATGTCAAATCTATGTCAGCCAATTCGAAGTCTGAGTGAAGACGGACAACAGACTTAGAAAGTCAACTATCAGGACATAGCATTTGAGGGAAGGCAGGATATGTGACGCCCATGTAAGACAAAAGACCTTCAGACTAGACTGGAGAGGATGTGGAATATGAGGAGGAGTGATGGGATATATTTTATTATTATATGTTGTATTAATTAATACGTGTATTCTTAGTGTAAGTCAAGATACTACACGTATGTGTTTTGTTTCCATGATTACAGCGCCCATGTGACGATCAGTCCATGAAAGAGACTACATAGTGTTAGACTCGGCCAGCTGGGAACCAGGTGGAGAACGAGGTGGGAACGATGTGGAGACCGAGGTGGGGATGAAGTGAAGAATAAGCTGAAACAGGCAGAAAACAGGCAAGGAAGAGTTGGACAAGCTTGACAGTTCCTCACGGCTGTCAGAGGCTTATAAGCTAAGTTAACCTATTTTGACTTAACATATCAATATCATTCTACCACTCTAAACCCCGGAGCTGTTTTCTCGCTGAAGCGTATCACTTTCATTAACCAGTCACTGTTTGTGTAAATAAACAAACTGGGAATTTCATTGTAGTAAATAAAGCTGTATGTCAAGTTTTAAACTACATCGTTTGTTAAATTCCAAGTGTATTCAGTCTTACCTGTTTAACTAAACATAGATAGAATTACATTTGGTGGGGGCTCAAATAATAATATAATAATTCTTTAATTAATAATAATAACACCGGGAGAAGGTAGATGACGGAGGAATCACTTGCCCTGTCTAATAATTCATTAAGTATGATAGACATCTAAAATTCCTTGCCTACTCTTGTGGGTACCAGGTGCAGCTAATGTTAAAGTACTTAACGAGCCAATATGGCTGTTTTCTTGGATATCCAGGACTTTGTCTGAGAGCAACATAGCTCAGATTTTAGTTCGTTTAATCTGGTGGAGGGAATGTGTTGAGAGGAACATTCCTACTCAACAACATAAACATTTAAACCAACCGTCACGTCACACTGGGAACTCGTCCGGGATTTGGACTGGGCTAATTACTCCTAGACTAATGAAAGTAAATTTATTAAATTTAACTTTAACTCTTCTGCCAGTATAGTCTAAATTAAAATTAGTAATTTATACATGGGGAGAGAGTACAGAGTAATAAATAACTTTTTACTAAAATAAATAAATGGATAGTATCATGTCTTATCATTGATCACTTCATAACCATTGATTTTTGTTTATTTAGTAAATTTTAATGTTGATGATTATTATATTTGCTTGCATGTTTCATAATTTGATATAGATTGTAGAGCATTATATGTTGACATCATATCATTGATACTTATGCTTAGTGACTGAATGTAAGATCACATCACATCATTTACCAGTGTAATCCTCTGTGCTGCTAAAATATTCTATAAGCTGTCAGTCTGGTAGGCAACTTTGATTCATTTACATCTTTGTGCCGCTGTCATAGGCTACTCTCTTGCCCAGTTTACCTTGCTCTGACATATTCTTTTATTCCGGAATCGGGGTAGTATTATATTTATCTTTAGATAGATCTAATAAGATATAATGGACTTACGCACCGAGTTTCTAAAAGATGTAAGGAAGATCGGGATAGCTGAGGGTAGAGTGGGAGCGCAGTTAGAATCATATGTTAAAGGCCATATGGATACTTTCGATTACATGAGTGCCCGTAATGCTGCAGAGAAGAAGCGAAAGTTGGAGAAAGAAGAATATGACTCGATGCTTGCCCGTCATGCAGCGGAGAGGCTAGAAGAAGAGAGAATGCGGCAATTTGAAGAAGAAGAATATGCTAGACAGTTGCGACTCGAAGAGGAGGCAGCTGTTGAAAGAACGAGGCGTTTTCAAGAAAAGCTGCGTAACTATAAACCACATAGGCAGACGAATAGAGAACTGCAGTTAGACACAGGGAACGGTGAGAACACTATTAGGGTAGTTGAGGGAACTGACAACTCCCATACTGACACTCTGGTAGAAAGGTCTGGGACTCACTCTCTCAATGGAGAGGTGTGTTCTATTTTGCCAAACTGTACTTCATCAGGGGATGAAGTAATAGACCACCCAAGACCTTGCCTCACCCCTCTTATTTCTAATAGGGACAGAGCTGACATTAAGAAGAACTTTTCTGTAGGGATGACCGGATCTACATTGCTGGCCCCATTTACTTCCATTCTTAAGCCTAAAAGGAAAAGATGGAGTAAGAAGCAGAAATCTTCTAAAGGGACCGGATCTACATTGCTGGAACCCCTTACTCCCATTATCTCAGATGAGATATATGAGAGCACACCCCGCAGTAATCACAAGCGTGATAACTGTTCTAACCGTCGACATACTGGTTCGACTGGCACACCAGCCATTAATGAGGACGAGGGTAAAGACTTACCCAATTCCCATAAACCCTTTGGTCCTTCCAAACAAGAAGAAGAAGTAAAGCAGACTAATGTAGGGAATAACACTAAACCGGTTTCCCCTATTTCCCTTGATGCGATTGCATACAACATAGAAATAGTTAGTTCTGACTTTTCGCCCAAAGTAGTTGACTGTTATGGCCGTGACAAATCCCCTTATTTGCCTCCACTAGACTTATTATGTGAAAGCCAGACCAGGGCGGAGATGACAGATAAGGAGGATAGTTCTCTTAAGTTCTTGACGACCTTAGAGACAGTGAGTAAACAGGACATTGCTGCAAGTCCTGTGCAATCTGATACTGGACAGACAGAAATGTTTGCCATTGATGAAGAAGAAGGTACTTCTTGTGTGCAGGGAGACAAATTGTCTCTATCCTGTACAGCTGGGGCGACAGGGATACTTCTGATGAAGGACCCTGAAGCGGAACAAGCCATAAATAGTAGGAAACCCCAACATTCTGGTCTTGTATTTAAACATTTAAACCAACCGTCACGTCACACTACAGAACCTGTGCACTGTGCTGAGCTTCTTTGCATTCAGACGGGTAAGAAAAGAACGGAGCACTTATGGCTCACTACCCGTGTGCCTTGATGTTGATCCGTTGTTCAAAACCTCATGAACGATTTAAGTAATTATCTAGGATCATAAAAGAGCCGTTATGGTGTGCCAGCTAAATCTTTCCCTGTGGATCCGAAGATCATGGGTTCAAATCCGATCGCAGTCGGAATTTTTTCTTTCAGAAAATTACCTTGGCTCCCAGGTCGACCCCGCCTTACTTAAATGGGTACCAAAAGTAGCCTTCACTTGGAAGTAAAGGTAGCCTTCACTTGGAAGTAAAGGTAGCCTTCACTTGGAAGTAAAGGTAGCCTTCACTTGGAAGTAAAGGTAGCCTTCACTTGGAAGTAAAGGTAGCCTTCACTTGGAAGTAAAGGTAGCCTTGTGATGTTGACAACATCGCTTACCGAGTGCCCACTGGTCAGTATAGGTCCAGCACTATATGCCTAATACTCCTGAAGGCGTGGAAAAAAAGTGCTTCATTTGATTACTTACTTTTGCTGTCTGAGATCTCAAGCTGACCTACTTTAAATGGATACCACAGAATGTACTGTCCAGTAAAGGCGGTGTCAGTGGGTGAGAATAGAGTGGAAAGGTCAGGGCCACGTATGTATAAAAGTCATTGACTTGTTCGGGCACTACTATATATAGCCTTGTCTTCCCCATGTGGGATGCAATTTTTAGTTATTTTGAAGCCTTACCCTGGCATTTGCCAGGAGCTCTAAATGTAGCTGGGCCTTAAATATGTCCTAGCGGCTGAACAGGGCTTCCGGGACCTCTCCACGTGTGATTCTCACCCGCATGGTGGCACTTTGTGTCACTGGGTGTTTATCGCTTGTGTGATGTCCTAGTGAGGCAGAACTTACCTGCCTACCTGCTCCGACACACGTACCTATTTTTACTTGCTCTTTTTCTCCTCCGTTTCCATGGCCTTGATAATTACCGAGTATTAATGACCGATGTTACATAGTTTATTGTTGAAACACTCGAAGTACGTAAACACTGCAATTTACAATCAGATAAAAACGACACAAACATGTCTGTCAAATGTTTTCACATTCCACGTAACGAAATCTAACATATTTACCTCGTCCCTTTAAAGTGCTGTGTAACTAGTCACGTTATTATACTACCATAGGTACATCACTATCAACAGACATGCCTGACTTGATGTAATTATTAATGTTAACCAACAGCTGGATTACATCCGTTATGTAATATCTTTCAGGGTCGCAACAAGTCACGATCACCTTCCTTGTTGAGTTGTTTTTTCCCTCTCCTCGAATGAGCCAATGTCATCTTTGTCTCGTCTTTTTTGCATCTTGTACATGGCGTGCTGTTTACCGGTGCTCTCTTCAAGGTCACTTATCTATTTTCAGATTTAACCCCGAAACAGGCCATGTCAAGTGACCATCGTGATGCTTCTTGTCAACTGTTAAAGAACTATAAACAAGTTATTTAAAAAAAAAAAAGTATAGATGCGTATTCTTTACACGAGGACCCCTCACACTTCCTCTTTTTTCCGAAGCAATTTTACGTTCAGTAGTTTGCCATTGCATCTCAACGGTCGGCTCTCGATACCGCTCTCGAAACTACCGCAATGCGGTCTGCTGCCATATCGCCTGCAGCTGGGATCGAACCTAGCACCTCTGCATTATAAAGCGCGTTAGCAACGTTTAAGCCACAGAGGCCGACAAAACAATTGTAAACAGCCCAACTGGTACCCGGGTGTACAAGGTAAATAGGCGGGGTTCCCTAACAAGAACAGTAACATTATTTATTTAGTAACATAAAGCGCTCGTGTGCTACCAGGAGTCATAAAAATGTAAATCATTTTATAATATCCTGTATGACATAAGAGGCGACTAAGGAGGATTGACGTGAGACTGACTATTTCTTTACATAGCTGTTTCTTTGCATAGAAATCCCCGCGTGTTCCTGGTGTCCAAAAATCGGAGGCGGGGTGGGGGGGAATAGGGTGTTCGTTCACAGTCGCAGTGCATCTGCCTGAGACGGAAGGACTCAAATTAGTCTTCTTCTTCTTAAAGTTCATGCCGTGTGGTGTTGGTAGTCATGTCTATCCACAACCTTCTGTCTCGTATACTTTCAGTCATCTCTGACACTGATGATCCTCTATGCCATGATGCCAAACTGTCTTTCTATCGGTCTCCCTCTGCCTCTACTCCCCTTCAACTTTCATACTGTCACGATATAAGCCACATCTGGACAACTCAAGTTATGTAACCAAAGTCCAGAAGTGCACGAACAACCAGAACTTTCCGCAGGAGTTTACGGTCCTAAACGTGAGGAAAAAAAGGTTCAGTAGAAAACCGTAGCTGCAAAATCACTTCACGTACGTATCAAGTGTTGACTGGGCTACAGAAATATGAGTTTGTCACATAAGCTCAATTCGCCATTGGTGTTGAAAAGAGTTCTGTGCTTTCCTTTCTTTTGTAGTCTCACTGATATCAGGTTGTATCCCAGTGTCCTGGTTTTTTGTATTTGTCTCACGCTTCTCGGGTTGTTTGGTCGATGGACGTGTTCATCCTTTTGCAGTTTTCAGCTACACAATTTATCCATCTCTTTCTTGGTCTTCCCCTCAACTACTTCCCAGATGCTCTGCTTTAAAGAGTTTCAGATGCAGTCTTGTATGGCTGCATTCTCATTGCTTTACCTTTACTAGTGTGATCTTATCAATGTTTATTCCCTTATCTTGTCAGCTTCACCAGGTGTTTGAAGAAATCCATGTACTCAAAGATTACCAAGGCGATGTTATGCTCCTGGAAGATGACTACTACGTGTCCCCGGATATCATTGTCACATTTCAGAAGCTGAAAGATCTCAGGAACAGGTTAGTTTATTTATGCCCACATTACTGATGTTATTACAGGTCTTGCTAGGCACCCTTGTATATCATTGTCACATTTCAGAAGCTGAAAGATCTCAAAAACAGGTTAGTTTGTTTTTGCCAGTGCTCTCTAGCCTGGGAGCGCAAGAAAGTTTTATAGGGAGCTTCAAGCAATTTTGAAATGAGTTCTTGTGTTTTGGTCAGGTGCATTATAATTAAAATATTTTGTAATGCTTTTTATAAATCTAAAAGCAAAGGACGGTTTGTTTTTCATGAGCAGTTTCTACATATGGCGTTAAATTAAATTAATGTGATTTAATGTGCACCTAATTATAGATTAAGATCACCTTTGATTATTTCTTTTGTTATATGACACTGATTTATCCAAGTGTTCCATCGTCATCAGTTTCCACTTCTACTGTTAGGCATTCTGCGGAGGAACAGTTTGCGATCCATTGCTCAATGGGCAGTAATGGCTTTGTCATTCCGTGTGGATGTAGAAGCCCTTTAATGTCGTCGGAAAGGGGGGGGGGGTGTGACACTGATTTGGTAAACCTAACGTTAGTCTTTCCATAGACCAATCATACACAAACTAGCTAACTTCTGATTGAGATTGTGTCCAATACAATGCCTTATTCTGCTGTTTATACCAGACATTTCTCTAATTTCTCCCCTCCTCTTGAATGCATCCCAATATATGTCCATCATTTTTCTCAGGCAATTGTTGTCAGCCTGTGTAGTTTCAACAAATATATGCCGTCTCTTTTAGGGAATGTCTGGACTGTCGTATGCTTGTCCTGGGCAACTATGAGAAGAACCAGAACTATCCTGTCATTGGAGCAAAAGTAAGTGTGTTCAAATAAATGTTATCTATTGTAAACGTTCATGATCTTTGAGTACTAGAGTTCGTTTCCTGTGGTGAAACTGTTTTTAAAATTGTTTTCATGGTTTTTGGACAGTAGTACAAGAGTCACACTGTGGAAGAGATTGGTGCCTATGTAATATTCCAAACAACATAGTGGTACGCTGTAGCCAATCTTCAGTGTGCAGACAGCAGACATTTTGTCAATGTATGTGTGTGTGTATATATATGTATGGGTGTATATACATATATATATATATATATATATATATATATATATATATATATATATATATATATATTATTCATAATGATGGATTCACTTTCATTCATGTATATTTCCCTGTAAATACACTACATATTGAAAATACACATAAAAGAGACCAGGCTGGGGGTTGGAAAAAGGAAAAGGGGGAGGGGGGGGGAGTTCCCAAATTTACAGTATTAGAGTGGTCATGTTTTTGCAGGGACAGTATAGTTGTTTAGGCTAACCTGTATGTCCTATTGATACTCAATGTCATTTGGGACAGTGGATTATTCTTTCTTTAGTATTGACCTTGGACCTGCCTAAAAAGATACTGTCTCGATGATATGGTGACCCTATTAACAATATAGGTTATAGATGTTCAATATGGCTGCCGTCTGCTGCTTTGTGGGGAGGTTTGGGTGGGGGAAAATGGGGCGTCAAGCAGTTTTTAAACTGAGTGCATTTGTATTTGTAATAATCCGTTTTTTTTTTTTAAGTTAAATTGTAAATAAAATAATGCAAAAATAATACGTTCTTGCCGCAAGGGGGCCCAACCTCAAAATGTCTCGAGACCACTGATTTAAGTGGTAGATGAACACATCCCACACCCGAAGAAGAGCAAAGAGATAAATATGTAGATGAACACATCCCACACCCGAAGAAGAGCAAAGAGATAAATATGTAGATGAACACATCCCACACATGAAGAAGAGCAAAGAGATAAATATGTAGATGAACACATCCCACACATGAAGAAGAGCAAAGAGATAAATATGTAGATGAACACATCCCACACCCGAAGAAGAGCAAAGAGATAAATATGTAGATGAACACATCCCACACCCGAAGAAGAGCAAAGAGATAAATATGTAGATGAACACATCCCACACCCGAAGAAGAGCAAAGAGATAAATATGTAGATGAACACATCGCACACACGAAGAAGAGCAAAGAGATAAATATGTAGATGAACACATCGCACACACGAAGAAGAGCAAAGAGATAAATATGTAGATGAACACATCCCACACCCGAAGAAGAGCAAAGAGATAAATATGTAGATGAACACATCGCACACACGAAGAAGAGCAAAGAGATAAATATGTAGATGAACACATCGCACACACGAAGAAGAGCAAAGAGATAAATATGTAGATGAACACATCGCACACACGAAGAAGAGCAAAGAGATAAATATGTAGATGAACACATCGCACACACGAAGAAGAGCAAAGAGATAAATATGTAGATGAACACATCGCACACACGAAGAAGAGCAAAGAGATAAATATGTAGATGAACACATCGCACACATGGAGAAGAGCAAAGAGATAAATATGTAGATGAACACATCGCACACATGGAGAAGAGCAAAGAGATAAATATGTAGATGAACACATCGCACACATGGAGAAGAGCAAAGAGATAAATATGTAGATGAACACATCGCACACCCGAAGAAGAGCAAAGAGATAAATATGTAGATGACTAAGCCATAGGGATGGGTGATCAAGAACATTGACCTGATGTGTAACTCTGGGGATCATGTCAGATGGTGAAACATGACAGCCTATGCTGACACGCTTTGTAATTCTGAAGTAGCCGGTTCAGTTCCAGCTGCAGGCTGTTTGGCAGCAACTCATTGTGCATTTATCTCAGCAGTGATACTGAGAAACTACCATCCAGCTAGAATAGAAAAAAATATATGGTTCTTTAATAATATCCTACCCCAGATGACTTCACAGGAGAGTGGAACATTTTAGAGGGTGGTAAGACCGGGTTTTCCAGCTATCTGATGCTTTTGATGGCCGCAAAACATCTAGAACTGGCCCTAACCCCAACCCACCCACGTCCCACAAGAGATTGCAGCCTAGGTCCTACAAATGCCTGCAGCCTAGGTCCCATGACTGCATGCAGCCTATCTACCACCCCCTGAAATATTAGACTGTCCCGTGACCTGTGGATTTTCCCTGTTTAGGGTAAGATATTAATAAAGCATCAAAAATACTACTGAATGTAAAATTGTCTAGCAAAACCAGATGGTCGAAAAATGCTGGGGCTGGTTCTGCAGCGTCCTGTAAAGGATACACAATACTAATGGGACGTGATCATTATGGTGGTGCTGATGATGATAAATAATTAACAGTTCATTATATTTAATAATCTTTGCAGGCTGAAAGAGGATACTGGATATCTTCCAGGCATAACATGGGGATGACTTTTAATCGCTCTCTGTGGTTGGAGATTAAAAAGTGTGCCAAGGTAGGTGGTTTAGTGATAACGAACACAGGATGTAGATAAAAAGTGGTATCATTGAAAACAGATACAGTTTTTCAAGTTCTATTGCTGCACACAGACACACATTAGTTTTTCAAGTTTTGTTGTTGTATGCAAACACAACATACAATTTTCCTAGTTCTGTTACTCATAAAAATATGTAATGTAAATGTCGGATGGAGTTCTGTTCTGTTGTGGGTTTGTGTAATAGCTGGGAGTTGAGTTGAGTTGATTCAAGAACCGACATCACAGACTTGGGGGCATTCCTATAAGTGCTCCTTTCCCATCCTCAGCAGCCAGTGAAAAGTTCCGATAGTAATGGTGCTAGTAGCATTCTAATTAAACGTCTGTCTTGACTTTACTCTGAGCCTCGAGCATCTGCCAGAGTCTCTCATCATTCTCTTGCATCAGTCCCACCTGACTGTGGTGATCCATCTGCTCCTCCAAACTGTACACGCTCTCCCACAAGGCACTAACCACGTCTGCTTTATCGTGCATCAGTATTCCACCAAGTTGTGCAGAGCCAGCCAGTTTGTCCACCTGTTCATATCCTAACACACCAGCATTTCCCAGTGAAAAAATCCAGACAATACTCCACATCTGTGTCCTCAGCAGTGAAGCATGCCTTTCCTGTTCTTCCTTTTTTGAGTCAGTTACAATCATGATGTGTGTGTCATGACTGCTGGGAATGAGGGGGTTGGTATGCCAGCTAGAAAAGAGTGGGTTAGTATCAAAGCTACAATAGGGTCCATTGGTGTCACAGCTGGGATACAGTAGGTTAGTGTCACAGTTGGTGGGTTGGTGTAAAAGCTGTGATAGAGTGTTAGTGTCACAACTGGGAAAAAGTGGGCTAGAGTCACAGCTGGGATAGAATGGGCTAGAGTCATAGATGGGATCTTTTTCTTAAAGTCCATAGCATGTAGTGTTGGTAGTCATGTCTGTCCACAACCTTCTGTCTCATGTACTTTAAATTTGACACAGATGATTCTCCATACCATGATGTCAAACTGTCCACAACCTTTTCTCTCGGTCTCCCGCTGCCTCTACTTCCCTCCAACTTTCCTTCTGTCATGATGTACTCCAGTCATAGATAGGGTAGAGTGGGTAAGTGACACAGCTGGGAAAGAGTGGTTTAGTGTCACAGCTGGAAAGAGTGGTTTAGTGTCACAGCTGGATAGAGTGGTTTAGTGTCACAGCTGGGATAGAGTGGTTTAGTGTCACGGCTGGAAAGAGTGGTTTAGTGTCACAGATGGATAGAGTGGTTTAGTGTCACAGATGGATAGAGTGGTTTAGTGTCACAGCTGGGATAGAGTGGTTTAGTGTCACAGCTGGGATAGAGTGGTTTAGTGTCACGGCTGGAAAGAGTGGTTTAGTGTCACAGATGGATAGAGTGGTTTAGTGTCACAGATGGATAGAGTGGTTTAGTGTCACAGTTGGGATACAGTGGTTTGGTGTCACAGTTGGGATAGAGTGCTTTAGTGTCACAGCTGGAACGAGTGGTTTAGTGTCACAGATGGATTCATTCATTCATTCAGTAGCATGTCACTCGCGGAACCTCGCTGCCATAACAACCCTCTGGAAAACCATCCTATCATGAGCAAGATGTCCTGCGTCTGATACACCCATCTGGAGATCATCTGCCACATCTTGCACCCATCTTTTCCTTGGCCTTCCTCTTCCTCTCTTCCCAGGCATATACCCCTCCATTATTGTTCTCTCTAGACTTCCATGATGTTTCAAGTGACCAAAATATTTCAATTTTCTTTGTTTTATTGTCTTTACTAGCCAACCCTCTTCAATATTCAGCTCATGAAGTATGGATGCATTTGTTCTTTTCTTTACCCAAGATATTCTTAGAACCTGTCTGTAACATTTATATTCAAATGCATTTATGCGCTGTTCCGCTTGTTTAGTAAGTGTCCAGGTCTCACAGGCGTATGTTGCAATGGGAAAGATGCATGCTCTTAAAAATCTGACCTTTGTAATTCTATCTGTACAATTCCATAATTTATTCAGTTGTTTTAGTCTTTGAAGAGCAATTGATAGTCGCTGTTTAATTTCTTTCATTGTGTCACCATTGTTGGTAACCAGTGACCCAAGATATTCGAAATTTTCCACCACTTCCAATCTTTCCTTATTAACATATATTTCCTTCTCCATGGCAGTTTTGTTTGTATGCATTATCTTTGTTTTTGCTATGTTAAGAAATAAGTTATGATTTTCACTATTTCTTTGGAGTGAGGTTAATAAGTTTTTTAAACCACTTTGTGATGTTGATAGTAATACTGTATCATCAGCATAACGAATTTCTGGTATTTCATGACCACCGATGTTTAGGGCATCATATTGTTCCTTGTTTATATCATCTCTTACATTTCTCATTATATTTTCGGCGTACAGATTGAACAAATACGGTGACAGCACACATCCCTGACGGACTCCTTGCTTGATGCCAAACCAGTCTGATGTCTCTCCATCTATTCTGACTGCTGCTTGCTGATCTTGATAGAGCATTTTAATGAGCTGCACTATATGTGATGGAAAGCCCATATTCCTCATGATTTCCCAAAGCTTCTGATGTTGTACACAGTCAAATGCTTTTAAATAATCTACAAAACATAAGAACAGATTTACATTAAATTCTCTACACTTCTCTATTATTAAACGCATGTTGAATATATGATCTCTTGTTCCTCTTCCCTGTCTAAATCCAGCCTGAGCTACATTAATCTCTTCTTCCATTTTCTTATGCAGTCTTCTCATTATAATTTTTTAGTAGAATTTTGCTTGCATGACTGATCAGGGCAATAGTTCGATAGTTTGTACATAATTTCAGGTCACCCTTTTTTGGTATTGGAATGAAGATAGTTCTCTTCCAGTCTTTTGGCCAAATACCATATTTCCATATCTTTTCACATAATGCATGATAGATTTTTATGCTTTCTTCTCCTCCCGCTTTAATCAATTCAGCTGGTATCTCATCACATCCAGGTGATTTACCATTTTTCAGGCTCCTTATTGCCCATGAAATTTCATCTAATGAAGGTTCAGGTTCTGCCTCTACTGTTACTGGTTCATGTATATCATTCATATCCTCACAGATGGATAGAGTCGGTTAATGTCACAGTTGGGATAGAGTTGGTTAGTGTCACAGCTGGGGTTTAGTTGGCAATAGTCATAGATGGGTTAGAGTGAGTTAATGTCACAGGTGGAATAGAGTGGATTAATGCCACAAATGAATAGAGTGGGTTAGTGTGACAGCTAAGTGGCTAGTGAAAGAGTTGGAATAGTGTATCTACGTTGATAGTGTTGACTATCTTGTGCCTCATACACAATTAAAGACAAGAAGTACAAGACTTAAGTGGCTTGGTACAGAATCAGTTATTGCTATAGATTGTGCATTGATTTGAAAATATATGACTGATAAATAGCTGGCTGCTCTTGTTTGTTTCAGCAGTTCTGTCAGTTTGATGATTACAACTGGGACTGGACACTGATGCATCTGAGCATGACATGTATCCCAGACAAAGTTAGGCTTCTAGTTATGAAGGCCTCACGGATCTTTCACATTGGAGAATGGTCAGTACCTGGTTTCTGTCTTTTTTTCCCCCTCCCCCAAATACTGAATAAATAAAAGGCATGCAATATCTGCAGCAATGAATCTCAGTTGTTCGCATTGCTGAAGAAGAAGAAAAAGAAGAAGAAGAAAAAGAAAAATAATATCTTCTTCTGCCTTTCTATCCCCCCAATGGAGCATAGGCCCTCAACCAACTCACTCAAGTCGTTCTATCCTTCGCCATTGCATGGAGCTCTCCCCATGTCCTCTCCCTCTTTCTAACTTCATTCTCCAGCTCTCTTCTCCATGTGTTTTTTGGCCTTTCTTTATTTCTATGCCCCTGTGGGTTCCAATGCAAAGATATTCTAGTTATGCTGTTATCTTGTTTTCTCAGTGTGTGTCCTATCCAACGCCAGCATCTTTTCCTCACCTCTTGGTCCACTGGAACCTGTTTAGTTCTCTCCCAAAGCTCTACATTAGTTATTCTATCATACCATTTAATTCCCTCTATTCTGCGCAGGCACCAGTTAATGAATGTCTGTAATTTAAAAAGAATATACAGTGGGAATAAATAACCTGTTTTAACACTTTGAGACTTACTGGGGATTTAGTGTAAAAAGTATTTTTTTTAAATAGATAAATCATAACTCAGTCAGTGGTGTGGCACTATTGGTCACTTTCATTCTGAGAACATTTTCTGGTATTTATTTTAATCTGGGAGCCCAGATCAATGGGAAAAGTCCATACCTCAAGGGGAATTTGAACCTATGGAATGCTTATATAGGAAGTAAAGTACACCATAGCTGGGTTTGGACTGGGAATCTCACAGTTTTGAACTGTGTTCATCGTGGTTGAGCCACAGACATTCATTGAGCATGCTACAGAAGATCAAGGCAGGGCAAATATAAAAACTGTGGCTTTATCTGATACAGCCTGCAGTGTTTCACAAAATTATCTTAATTTTTTCCCAGTGTATGCTGGGTTGAAAGGCAATGAGAGAGCAGCCGCCCTGGCTGGCAGTTTGCCTATCAGGAATGGGCCATCTATGGGCAGGAGAGGCATCATCAATGCCATATGAGAGACTAAACACTGTGAGGCTTTCAATTTCATGGAAAATGACTTTACACTGAATAGACTGCATATCCTGGGTGTAGCAGTTGGAGCAGCGAGAGAGGAAAACCACACGAGAGCCACCGCTCATTACATCAGCCAGAACAGAATGGGAGTTGTTAGCCTAAAAACACTTGGAGACATACTCAGGAGCAGATTGAAGCACTTAGGGTCATGTCCAATGTAGATGATCTTTAAATATACAATGAACAATAAGCCACAGACACAAAGAGGAAGTAAACTTTCCACCAATAGTCCTTGCCTACATAGGACTGCAGCTTACACCTGGCTTGTGTCGCCATTACAGGTGCCGTAATTATAACTTCTGTAGAGGTTGAATGGGATATCTATGATCTGCCATGTTTGTCTGCCATCCAGGCTGAGATTTTATATCTTATGATGGTATGGTAAACAGTGTTGCTACCTACGGGTAGCTGCTCACAGGGGACGAACCGATTAATCTATTGATGCACAAATCTATCCACAAAGCAGACACACTGACCTCCAAGTTCGATGCTTATCTTCATAGGATTCTTCCCTGTGTGAGTTCCGGGGCCCCATTGTGGGGAAAACAAGAATAGACCCATTGCCTCCCCAAAAGCATGTCCTAAGAGTCAACTAATTGGGGAGCTTCCTTTGAAGTTAGAGTGCATCTGCCGGAGAGGCAAGGAACCAACAGTCTGTATTCAAGAGAATGAGATCTGTAAAACTGATGGACACGCAACACTCAGGTTCTGGAGCAGGACTGCAGTTCAGTAGTGGACAAGCAACCAGAACTTTCCGCCAGAGTGTACAGCTGGTGAACGCGAAGAAGAAGAAGATAGGATTCACACTCTTCATTTAAGAAGTAAAGAAATTACCATATGTAATTTTTTTATTTGTTTTAAATATTGAGGATTACTTTTCATTTTTAGTGGAATGCATACAAGGTATTCCAGTGACTGTGATCTAGCAAAAGTATCAGAGGCAGAGAGGTGACAAACTGAATAAACTTTTGATTACACAAATGTATCCACAATTCAGACATACCAACCTCCCAGTTTGTTGCTTATCTTGATATGATTTACACTCTCCATATAAGAAATAAAGATGTAAAGAAATCACCATGTAAACAATTTTCTCAGATATTAATGATTACTTTTCATTTCCAGTGGAATGCATAAAAAGTCCAGTAACTGTGATCTTGCAAAAGTAAAGGAGGCAGAGAACAAACTGCAAGACAATAAGCAACATTTATACCCAGATGTAGTTTCTCTGGCAGGTGACACAAGGTACAAGCTCATCGACCCCAAACCCAATGGTGGCTGGGGAGATATTCGAGATCACACATTGTGCAATTATTATTTTAATGAAACTACAAGTAGATAGCATTTATTTTTACAATTTAGGTACCCAAAGTTGAACTTCTTTCTTGTAAATTGTTACATTGCATGTGCGAGAGAGAGAGAGAGAGAGAGAGAGAGAGAGAGAGAGAGAGAGAGAGAGAGAGAGAGAGAGAGAGAGAGAGAGAGAGAGAGAGAGAGAGAGAGAGAGAGAGAGAGAGAGAGAGTATGTTTGTGGATATTATTGTAGATGTATGTGTGGACACAGTCAAAATATAATTTATAATTCATAGTTAGTCCATATATCATTCTCACTGCCCATCAAACCATTCAGTCCATATGAACATCAGTGATCATATTCTCCCGGTATATCCAATAGTGTATAGGGACTGATGACACCATTTCTGAATTGGTTTACTATTTTTATTTTTTGCTTCCTGCATAGCTCTCTTGCCTGGTTTTTCCCCTTTTGCTGTTCATGGATTGTCACCAAAGTTGAAGGCTCACAGCCATCACTTGACCTGCATAACTGTTCTTTGTCTTGTAGAGCATTCAGTTCCCTGGTTCGGTCCATTGCTCAACTGCTAGCGTGGCTCTGTGGCTTAGATATAGTGACACTGTTTCACAATACAAAACTCAATGTTTGCCAGAGTTCGATTCACACTGTGGGTGATTTCAGTAGTATGAGAGTCACACAATGAAACAAATTAGGGTAATCAGGCAGTCGCGGTTCCAACTACATAGCAAATGGGTTACTCCATCCTATGCCAGTGAAAACCACACAGAATGTCCATCACTGTCCCTTGTGGGAAAATAACTGACATGACTGCGGTTTCAGCAAAGTCAGCAGCATACATTTGCATCAAATGCATAAGGCAGCCATCGGAAGTGCCGATACAGCCAGTCTAGCACTAGAGATGCAGTTCATTGTCTATTGGGATCAAATTCTCATAGTTTGTTGCCAGGGGCTTGGCCTGCTGACAGCTGCTGGGAGCCACAGGAGAGAGCTGAATGCCAGACCTATCCCAATGGTGGTGATCTGCCCTAAGAAGGACATGACGGTCACCTTGCCAGAGGAACTACTAGTATCTGACACCCCCCCCCCCCCCCCCCCCCCCCAGTTTGTGGATACATTACAGTCAACCTCCATTGTGGAGATGGCATAATGTCCCCAAAAACGCCTCCCCCCCCCTCCCCACACCAGCCCACATGCATGCACACACAGATAGACACTCACAGTAGTTCTGACAGCAAACCAGTGAGCGTGTTAATTTCCTCTTACATCTGCATACCTGAGGCAATATTAAACTTTTTTTTTCCAGTTATAAACTCCACAAAGTCTAACCACTGTCTTTGAGCCCAAACATCTTTATCTTCTTTAGCACACTCATTGAATCACTAAACAAAACAAAAAAAAACCTGCTTGGGTGACTCCTAACTTGGCCCAGACTACTACTGCATTGGTTATTACCATGATTTTATTGTCCTCTTCATGTTCACCAACTGTAAATGTCAGTGGAAAGTTCTGATTGTTGTGTGTGTGTGTGTGTTTTCTTGACTTAAGTCTTGTTACAGAAGTTAGTTTCTCATGCACATACATTTTTACAGATCTTACGTTTTGTGTGAAGACTGTTGTTTCCTTGCCTCTTGAGCAGATGCCCTGCGACTTTGAAGGAAACCCCCCTAATTAGTCGAATCTTACGACATGCTTGTTAGAGAGGCAGTGGATCTGTTCCCCCCCCCCTCCCTCCACAGCTGGGAACAGTAGGGAGCTTTTGAAATTTTATTGTCATCAAGACCATCTTCTCGTTCAGTTTATGCATCATGCAGGGTTTACAGTTTATTGTTTCGTTCCGTTCTATCATTTGCATCTGCTTCCATCCCATGGATGGAATCTACTCCAGCACCTTTGGTCTCACGCTGTGATAGTCAGGTGATTGTCACTTATACAATACATAACATATCTAACACTTGTATTGAAATAAGCAGCTGTTTCCCATTATCATCGGGAGGGGAGGGGGGGGGGGGGGTGGGCTGCGTGGTCTCAAGGCATGGTGTCCGCCTCAAGTGGTAGAGGTTCCAGGTTCAATCCCCAGTAAGGTCTGGGATGTTTTTCACGTGGACTTGGACTTCTAGTAATTCCCCCTGGCCTCTGAGTAGTGAGATTGGATGCCTGTGTACATTGTTGCGCACATTAAAAAAAACCCTTCGCAGTTGGAAATCGAAAAGAATTGCCCGGGCAACATTTTTATCTAAAAAACGATTCAAAGTATTTCAGGATCCTCGCCAGTGCTATTGAGCACTGTGCTGCACTTCTTCGGACTCAGACTTGAGTTAGAAGAACAGTGGAGCACTTATGGGTTGCTACCTGTGTGCTTTGACTTTGATCCATTGTTCAAACCTCAAACATCATCATCGCCTTGCTGATTGGTGTGGATGTTTGTGCCTCTCCACAATCTGCAGTCTTCAACACCATGTGTCAGTTCATGTGCTGACACTCCTCCTTGTCATGACAAAAGGCTGTCAAGAATTGTCTCGCACTGTCTTCCTCTGTTCTTTTTTTTTTTTTTTTGGTTACCTACAGATCTTTCCAGTGGTCACAACAAGTGCCAGTTTCCTTAACTCTTTGAGTCCCAGAGGGTTTAGCATCACAGGCCCAAGAGGTAGTCAAAAGAGATGTAAAATTGGTGCATCTTGCGTTCATTTGGCTTCTAGGTAGGAATTTATGAACGTATGATGCGTTCCTTGGGACTCAAAGAGTTAATATCATAATCTGACCTAAAAATTATGACTGTCCCTTTCTGATGTTTGTGATAAACTGTCTTCTAGCCTTCACCTCTTTCAAAACATTTTGGTTGCTTTTTTGCTTGTTGTCAAAGGAATTCAAAGAATTCTTCAGTAAAACCACATCTTCGATGCCTCAAGGAACTGTTTGGCTTATTCATTAATTGTACAGGATTCACAGTCATATATTGAAACTGGCTCTATATAGCATGCAAGAATTCTTTTCTAACCTTCAGCGGCTTGGATTTATTGCATAAACTATTGATTTTATAAACGCAGTTTTCTGTGTACAAGTTGTGAATAATGCATTTATAAATTCACTTTATAATATTGACCAGTAACGGAGCGGGTAATAAAATATATAATTTAGCGCTGGGTTTTTAAGAGCGTTTGTGCTGTTATATTTTGTCTCCAGAACATGTTCAGAGTTCATTTCTGCATAAATTTCCAAAATCAGAAGTCATCTCTCTTAACCATTCCCTTTGCATTATCAATCACGCATTTGATAAGCTTGAAAATATTTAACTGCAATAATTTATGAACCGTAACAGAGCCATTACATCTTCTTCTTCTTCTTTTTGATCACCGGCTATTAACTCTTGCGGAAAATCAAGGCTGTTTCTCCACTTCTGGACTACGCTATTTTTCCAAGCCATGAGTGTTGCATGCACATCCATTTTACAGATCTGTCTTATTTGTATGCAGACTGCTGGTTCCTTGTCTCTCAGGCAGATGCACTTTAACACTGCTGGTTCCTTGTCTCTCAGGCAGATGCACTCCAACACTGCTGGTTCCTTGTCTCTCAGGCAGATGCACTTCAACACTGCGGGTTCCTTGTCTCTCAGGCAGATGCACTCCAACGCTTCTGGTTCCTTGCCTCTCAGGCAGATGCACTCCAACACTGCGGGTTCCTTGTCTCTCAGGCAGATGCACTCCAACACTGCTGGTTCCTTGCCTCTCAGGCAGATGCACTCCAACACTGCTGGTTCTTTGTCTCTCAGGCAGATGCACTCCAACACTGCTGGTTCCTTGTCTCTCAGGCAGATGCACTCCAACGCTTCTGGTTCCTTGTCTCTCAGGCAGATGCACTCCAACACTGCTGGTTCCTTGTCTCTCAGGCAGATGCACTCCAACGCTTCTGGTTCCTTGTCTCTCAGGCAGATGCACTCCAAGTAAGCGAACACCTCATCGAAGTGTGCAAAAGTTTATACAGGGATTGTAGAAGTGTAGTTAGAATAAATCAGGGAACATCTCATCCTTTCACAGTGACATCTGGAGTAAGACAGGGGTGTGTCATAAGAGCTAGAAACAGAACCTTATATCTCCCTCGACACCCACAGCGGTAAAAGAGGAAGTGAAGAAGAAGAAGAAGAAGAAGACATATAAAAATGTTGGTTCAGTGGCGTCAATTAAAGTCTGATACAATGGATTTCACAATATGGATCAAAGCACTGCGCCCCTTTGCAAATATGAATCTTTCCAGCGCGTCAATGGAAGCACACTTCACCTCACTCTGCACTCTTCTTACTAGCTCAGCTTGTTCTTCAGGGGAAAGATTTTTCAAGACTCTAATCAATGGATCGTAGTCATCGCTTGTTGCGAGGCCCACCATAGCACCTTTAAGAAACAAAAAGCATTACATAATGAATTATGTATTTAAAATGTTGCAAACATATTAACATAAATTTTACCCATTTACATTCAGTAAAACCTCGTTAATATGAATGGAAAGGAACCTAAAATAGTTATTATTAAAAATAACGCTTTCCTACTAGGGACCAATAATAACAACAATAATACATCCGGCTGAAAGCAATAATTTGTTCACATTTACCAAGTATTCTTCTTAAACGATTTCATGTTAACAAACGTCTGCTGTATATGGTGGATTCTAGTGTATACTGGTGTACTAATTATCATACAATCAAAAAGTCATAGCAATGCTGCTATTCTTGGCCGTTGTTTTTATGGTATGCGTTTAAACCCTTTGGAGACGACTCGGCCGAAATGTCGGCCTGACACAAAGTAGCCAAAAAAGACGACTGGGTCGATCGATCGACCCTATGAAATGCAAGCCTTGAGATTTCCTGGTAGATTTTCGTACCAGCTAATCAGATTGCTTCTCGCATTTCTTGCACATGTGGGCTGTTTATTAGCTGCTTTCGAAAAAGTTGGATGTGTTCGGTAATTTTACGTCCATTTTTTTTTCTGGGGTGACCTGTGCCCAACAATGTCGAAAAGGACTATTGTGTCATAGCAACCGAAACATAGCTGGAGGCAGGAAAATAAGTAGAACCATGTTCCAGAAGTGTCTGAAGGGCCTCCTAGGGCCTTAATTTCCAAAACACAAGTTTTAGGACTTATTCAAGCTTCATCCAACATCAAACAATTCACCCAATTTTTCTAGGTTAGTGAAATTTGTTCCCAACTCGCACAGATTATGCAAATAAGAATAGTTCATTTGTATAAATGTTGAGATTTCAGTTCAATTCATAAGTATTCTGTTAGCTCATTAAGTTTCTTACACGAATTTATATAATTTCGTTTATGGTAATTAAACGCTTAATTAAAAAAAAAAATTTTTTGCCTCTAAACTATGAGAATGCCCTTCTGAAAGCTTCGTCTTTTTGGCACTGAAACTCCAAAAAAGCCCCGCCTCCAGAGGGTTAAACTTCTCTACCAGTATGTTCACCTCCCTCGAGAAAATGGGTATTTTCATAACTTTCGTGACAGGCAACTGTCAGTCACTATGGCTGTACCGCTGGTTACTGGAACAACACAGGTATGACTGCAAACTCATATGACTGTAATGACTTAAGTATCACCCTTCGTCGTGTTTGTGACAAAATCGGTAGAACTTTGGTGAAACAGTTTGACACAAATTCCAAGCAGCAAACTAGAAGTGTCAGTTTGCAAAGCAACTAAAGACATCTTTAAAAAAAAAAAAAAGACTGATATCTATCTTAGGTAGCGTCTGTTACAAAATCAGCAGAACTTTTCTCAAAAATCTTTTCACAGATTCCTGACAATAAATTAACTAGATAAGCATTTTATCAACAACAAAAAGTGATTTCCTTACTAACTCGTCATCCCCATGTGAGAATCAATTTTTCATTATTCTGAAGCCCCACCCTAGCTTGTGCCCGTGGCCCTAAATATAGCCAGCCCTGAAATATGGCCTAACGGCCGAACGGGATTTCCTTGACCTATCCAAGTGTGATCCTTTGTGTCACTGGGTGTTTATCGCTTGTATGATGTCCTGGTGGTGTACCCCCCGCCCCCCCCCCTCTCTCCCAAAGGCGATTTCCATCTTTGGTAGCGTATGTCACAAAATCGACAGAACTTTGGTCAAAAATCTTGACACAAATTCCTGGCAACAAACTACAAAAGGTAGATTCCAAAAACAAAGCCAACAAGAAAACTAAATACACATCTTACAAAAAGTGTGAGTTCAATCTTTTTTTACAATTGGAATTTCTTGATTGAAAACAAGGAAAAATGCTAAGGCATACTATGTGGCTAAATGGTAACGACGTTTGACTCGCGCTCTAAATGTCCTGGGTTTGTAACAAGGACTGCTTGGTTCTGTTCACCGGTGGAGTTTATTTTTAAACTGAGGCTCCCGGGGATCGTTACTGGAGCTGTAAAGTTCATTCTTTTGTATAGTGCTTTCAACAGGCAGCTTACTGTTCCACTGAAATGGACCGAACCACGTGACATGAAACTTGTGCAACGAAGTCGATCCTATCAAGCTTAAACTGGTATTTTGTACTTTTAATGGCCAACCTTATCATCAGACCAATGTTTTCGAAGATTGTTTGTCCTTGTAATCATTTTTTCCCCTAAACATATAAAGCTTTGGGTGCTTACAGTTGTGTTTCCGGTTATTTAAATGTCTTTCTAACATAACCCTTGACCCATTAGGGTCGGGGATGCGTACTGATGGAATCACTAGCACATAAAACCCGCCATCTATCTTTGTCTTCGGCAATTTTAAAAATATAATCGTTACGTCCTTTTCAGGACGAAATTTTTTGTTATTTGAAGCCCCACCCTGGCTTTTTCCAGGGGCCGCAATATAGACAGGCCATAAATATGGCCAATTGTATGAACGCGGTTTTTGGGACCTCTCCATGGTGATCCTTATCCACATGCTGGCAATTTTTTGTCATCGGGTGTATATCGCTTGTGTGATGTCCTGGTGGGGCAGAAAGTCAGTCAGTCTGTCTTCCGCTTGATAAATAAGAGAATGCACTTCATAAAATATGGAAGTGATTGACTTAAAACTTCCCTATTACAAATCCCCGACCCTACTGGGTCAAGGGTTATGTTAAAAAAACATTTAAATAACTGGAAACACAACTGGAAGCACCGAAAGCTTAAGATGTTTAGGAAACAACACAAGAACAAAACAAACAAATGAATACAAGGACAATCTTTGAAAACACTGGCCGAGCAGTAATTCAGCCACTAGCAAAATAAAGAAACTAAACCTCTGGACATATGTACTGACATATACATAATTTGCAATAAAGAGATAGTTTTTTTTACAACACAACATTTTTATTTTTAAAAAAAAACCTTTTATTATTATTTGAAATATGTTTCCAAAATTAATGTCACTATTACAATTTCGCGATATACGCCTTCACACTGGAGCTGACACACTAATGTGTCACGAAACACAGTTGCAACCATGCGTATTGTAAGAGGTGATTACGGCGTGTGGCCTGGCTATATCATTCCATAGAATGCTTTCGCTTCAAAGCCATATCAGCCATGAAGGCCTATGCTCCAATGAGGGATAAAAAGCAAAAGAAGAAGATATACACTAACCTAGAATGGTCCCCACTAAACATCCTTCTCGACCACCGAATATAACTCCTAGGACGCCTCCTCCAGCTGCCCAGCATATCTGATTGATACCGCCTGAAAAGAATTAAAATCACTTTACATTCATTTCAGTGCCGACTGGGTAGCTTTAAAATAAATATACACAAGATAAGGTAGCTCCACTAGCACGTTTAGACTGTCATAAGTTAAACTCCATTCAGCTAAATGTGTGTAATGGTTTAGCTTGCAAGTAGACCCAATATGAAATGATCACTAGGAACTGTTCTTGGACGTAAAAGCAGCTAGCATCATACTGATCATATCACCGTCCGAGTGCTCACTATTCTGTAAAAGTAGAAAGTTGCAACCACTTGCATGTGCATCCATTTTACAGATCTGACTCATTTGTATGCAGACTGCTGGTTCCTTGCCTCTCAGACAGATGCACTCCGACTTCGAATGAAGCTCCCAGTTAGTCTACTCTTACGACATGCTTTTCGGTAGGCAGTGGGTCTATTCTTGGTTTCCCTACAATAGGGCTCCGGAACCCACACTGGTACTGAGGAATTTAAAACCATGGTCATTTCAAGCCCTGTTCAAGACCGGGATTACATAATAGGAAATGAATTACCCAGGATGCTCAGAGCAGGACATAACACGGAGACTTGAATTCCAAATTTGAAAACGCACGGACAGACGATCGCTGAGACTAAATACCTCAATGGGTTATAAAGGAGTATGACCTAATATAAATACTACAACAGCAGTCAAACAGGAAAACGCACGGACAGGCGATCGCTGAGACTAAATACCTCAATGGGATACAAAGGAGTATGACCTAACATAAATACTACAACAGCAGTCAAACAGGAAAACGCACGGACAGACGATCGCTGAGACTAAATACCTCAATGGGATACAAAGGAGTATGACCTAACATAAATACTACAACAGCAGTCAAACAGAAAATCGTACGGACAGACGATCGCTGAGACTAAATACCTCAATGGGATACAAAGGAGTATGACCTAACATAAATACTACATCAGCAGTCAAACAGCGTGAGCTTAGCTCAGGTTGGCGGACCTAGAGGAACCACAACCGGACAACATACCAGACCCAGACATGCCTTAATATGCAGGGACACTAAGCCACTGAAATAGCTTTGAGCAGTGGCGGTACCATAACCATTGAGGTTTTACTGCGGCGTGGTTATTTGCCAGTTGCTACTGAAATGGCACAAGAGCCTAATTTTAGCCGTTAAATGTGGTGCAAGAAACATTGCTACAATCATAAACAAAAGCTTCTTTTTCGAAAGGCGCTTGTTGAACGTGGCCAGATTTGTATCTTTAAAAAGTGCCAAATGTGCCATAACTCGTGATAATAGACCCTTTCACTTGCCGATTTCGAAATGTTAGCCCTTGACACATGTTAAAGGGAGGTGACTGATCTCGAGGTATGGCGTCCACCTCTAGTGCTGGAGGTCCCGGGTTCAAGCCCATGTGAAGGCTGGGATTTTGTTAACACGAACTTCTAGTAATTTCCCCTGGTTTCTGGGTAGTAAGATCAGACGCCTGTGTGTATTGTTAAGCACGTAAAAATTCCTTGCAGTTGAGAATCGAAAAAGAGTAGCCTAACGGCGAAATTTTTAGTTGAAAATTATCTAAAAAGATTTCAGGATCCTCGCCGGTGCAACGGAGTTTGTGCACTGCGCTGAGATTTTTCAGACTTAGGTTTGAGATAGAAGTAGAATGGAGCACTTATGGGTTGCAGCCGTGTGCCAT